CATCCTCTCTGGCACCACTCCCCTGCTCTGCTTCCTGGCTGCCAGAAGCTAAGCACGCCTGCTGTGCCGCGTCTTTCTATCATGATGTTCCTGCCTTGGAGCCAGCCCACTGTGGACTTAATCTCCCAAAACAATGAGCTAAATTAAGTCTCTCCTCCGTTAAGCTGTGGGTGTGGGCTGTTGTGTCCAGTGGTGGAAAACTGACTCATCCACCCCAGCAGGATACTGAACGGTATCAGGAAGAGGGCTGGATGGCTGGTGACCAAGAAATGACAAAATTTCTTCTGCAGTTGGTATTTGTTGATGTATAATTTTTAAAAAAGTAAAAGGAGTTGATGGTGTAGCTAGTGTGTCTGAGCGTTTAAAATTAGTATAAAGGCTGTGGAAATCTACTTATGTATTGTATTCACTCTTTCTGACAGTTTTGAGGGAAGTTACATGGTGTACACGTAGGGCTCACCTAGGAAGTGAGGAGACAGCACTCCTTGCTGCTATCTGATTTTAGGAGTTAGGTGTATATTACAGATGAGAGCTGAGTGCACTTGCTCAGTTAGCATGCAGGCAGTTGGAGGTCTTGTGAAAGCTTTGATGTCCAGATGTCACCAAAAAGCTTCATAGAGTCGCCCTTGCAAGGACATTTTCAGAGTTATTAAATACAGAGCAGAATTTAATCTCTTCAAACACTTTATCTTCTTTGTGCCCCTGTGTCATTGACTCTCCGTGCTGTCCAGGTTGCCTGTCCTTTGTGACCAACACTGGTGAAAACAATGGCCTACAGATGCGATTTTACTAGCCAGGATTTAATTAGATACACAGGCTCCAAAGGAACCCAAGATTTAATACAATTAAAGTAGAACTTGGGTGAAAACATGGGGGAATTGCATCGTTTACAGTGTTGTTTATGTGCCATAGCTGTGTTTACCACAAAGTGATATTCTAAGACTGAGAAAGTCTGGGAAAAAGCCTGGAATTCCCTCTTCATTTGGAATTGTGGAATACCTCTTATTTCAGGGGTTAGGGAACAATACTAGGCAGTATATGACTTAAAGTGCTCTGTTATTGGTGTAATCTCACTACTGCTATATCTTCCACTAGGAGTAGGTAAGAAAGTTTAGAACCATTCCTTTGAGCCAGACGTGGTGGTGCATACCTTTATCCCCATACTCTGGCAGTTGGAGGCAGGAGGATCATAAGTTCAAGTCCAGGCTGGGCAAGTTAGCAATTTAGATCCTGTCTCTAAAAATGAAAATGTCTGAGAATGTAGCAAAGGCCATGGACTCAGTCTTCAGTACTGAAAACACACACACATATACATACACACCAAAAAAAATCACAACTACAGAAAACCATTCCCTTGGCCTAGTAAACTACTGATCATAATGGGAAATACCTGATACTTTCAGTATCAGGAGCTTAGTTCAGTATCAACTTGTAGCTGTTAACTAATGTCCATTAACATGAGTGTTTAACATCTGTCATTTGAGGGTCAAGAGCAATGAAGTTATTTCTGTACAAGTACAGAACATGAGTTTTGTAACTGCAGAGCTTGTAGCCTTGGTGGTCTTCCTAATTTACCATCTGCCTGTCTTTTGGCCTTTGACTTGAGAGGCCCAGCCCAGGGGTTCTGAGATTGAAGCATTCTTGACCCTTATTTACCAATTGGATGACTTACAGTAAAGTCAGAAGTCCTGTCTCTGCCTGCTCATATTTAGGAAAAAATGGGTTTTGTTTTCAGAGAAGTCTTAGGAAATGGCAGTACAGTCTTAAATTACTCTTTATGGTATTCAGCCAACCAATCATGTCTATGGTTGGAGAAGAACAGTCTCATTAGGTTAATGGAACCGGGGTGATGTAGCGGTGCCTCAAGGGGTAATGATATTAGAAAAAAGACTTCCCCCAAATCGCCTCATTGTGCTTTACCTAGGATTTTTTAGAGAACACACAGGCTAGTAACACAATACCTGAATACCTATCCTATTTTTGTCTTTTAAATTCAAGGTTTGAAGGGCAGTAGGATTTTTTGAGATGACAGGAAAACAGGCCTAAGAACAATATTCGTACATTACATGGATTTCTGAGTTTGAAGAAGTAGGTCTATTTTGCCTTACTCTGTTTTGTATGGTCTTTTCAAATGCCATTGTACCTCTATCAACAAACACATTTTTTCTCCCCGATATTTGCCATTTATGTATTACATTTGCTCATTATTCTTAGTTTTCCTTACTAATGCTTCTTTAAATTTTAAGGATAAATGGAGGATCTATACAAATAACATTTCAGAGAGCCATTATCTCTTGGGTCCTATTTAATGCAGTCTAAAGTTAACTTTTGCAAGTGAGAGGTAAGGTTGCTGTGGCATTGTGGAATAAATTACATGATGTGTGTCTGTTTGCAAGACACTGAGCTCCAAAGCAATTTCTGTTATGCTGGAGGCAGTCCAGACAGTTTTATCACTTTAAGGTCTGCAGCATTAAAATATTTTAGATTTCCAGTGATGCTTACTGACAGGAAATACCAGTGGATTTAAAAATGGAAAAATGCTGTAAATCCCTGCAACTAACTTTGTGAAGCAGAAAACCAGACCTGGGTTTTGAATTTAGTATGAGGTTGTCTTTTCTTTTAATTAAGCCTTTAATTTTGTGATGACTGCGGTTTCACATGCAGTTGCAAAAATTATTCCGAGATTCTAGGTGTGTTCCGTCCAGTTGCCCTCGCGGGGACACCTTGGGGACCTGTGGTGCAGTGTTCGTTACAGCCAGGGCATTGACTTGGACACGGGTAAGGAAGGGAGTGGTTTGAGCGCAGCTGTGATCCTTCTGCTATTGCCACAACGTGAGTGAACCTCTGGTGTACTACACTGAATGAAAGATGCCAGACAAGGAAGAAGACACAGTGTCTGAACCTGTGTGTGTAAACCTATAGAATGTGACTGTGGTGGATTAACTAACGATCAACTTGTAAAATCCAGCTAAACTGAGGATTGTTGCCAATAGCATAAAAGGAGAACTGGAGGGGAAGAGCTTGTGCTGTTGATTCTCCTGGACAAGCTTGTCGTGCTGGCTTTCCTGATAGGATCTCGGCTGTTCGCACTGTCGGAGGAGCGTGGGTCCTTGCTGTTGCTGAGGATGGCTGAGGGTCTCTTCAGGGGAGCGCTGGTCCTTACCTTGAGCGTCTCTTTCTGGCTGCAGTGCAGATCTCCCTGTCTGCTGGCAAAGGTCCTTCACCTGGCTGGTGCAGACATTCTGTCTTCCATCACTGACCTTTGGGCTTTCCCAGTGCCGATCCTTGATACAGACTCGCATGAGACATTGTCGTGGGCTGTAGGCCTCCAGCTGGACTCATGGAGGACAATGTCATGGGCTCTAGGTCTTCAGCTGTACTTGTGTTGGACATTGCCGTGGAATCCAGGCCCTCAGCTGGATTCTTTGGGTCTCTAGTGTGTGGACAGATCTCCTATACTCTTACACATTTGATTCTTTGGGTGAATGTTATAAAATAATCCTATAAATTGTGCACCGTGTATCTGTTCCCGTGCTAACCCTGACTACAACAGCAACCTAATCACAGAAAGTAAATCACTGATGGCTGGTGAGGAGTGGAACAGAGGGACCTAAAGGGACCTCAGGGAAACAGAGTGATGTCAGCTCTTCTGAGTGTAGTGATGACTTCACAGGCATACACATGCTACAAAGACCCATAACTGTACATTTACAGTATACACAGTTTATTGTACATCAGTTACGGTTCAGTAAGCTGTTTAAAAGTCTGTGTCAACAAGTGTGCCCACAAGGTGTCTACTTCACACCGGCCCACATTTGTCTTTACAGAATGAGACCCGAGACTGTGTGTGCCTTGGAGCTTGTGGTAGTGTAAAGTTATTGCAAAAGTTTTCTTTAATACATACAACTTCGTTTGCGAATCATATCTTAAAGCGCAGAAATGTATGTATCTGTGGGTTTAGCAACACTCACCCTTTTTAAATTAAAAAAAATCCTTTATGTGGGAAAAATTGAGATTTCTAAGAAGTTTTTGAGGTGCTCACGTATAATCCCAGCACCATGGCAGGATGAGGCAGGAGGATCACAAGTTCGAGCCCAGTCTGGACAACTTAGTGAGGCTTTGTCTCAAAGAAGAAAAGCCTGGGTATGTAGCTCAGGGTGAAAGCCTTGGGCTCAATCCTCTGTGCTGCCAGACAAAACGAGCCGGTCTCCGAAGCAGACACCTGGTCGCTGGGACTGGGCTCCCAGAGAGGAGCTGCTTTGACCTCTGGGAAGCACCTGCCTGGGTGGGAAGCCGCTGTCGTGCAAGAGAGGAGTCCTGTCTGTGACCTGCATCCGCCCGCCCTCTCTGGAGAGGCCCCTGCACTGCAGTGCACGCGTTTCTGCAGTGTCTGCCCTGAAGCCCTTCTGTCCTGCTTCACGACTTCATCAGCCAGTATTCACGCCAATCTCTAAATTCAGTGTGTGTCATTTTCTTAGCACACTCCTGGGAAATCAGCTGCTGGGTTTCAAAGTGGATTATGATGAAGTGTTGATGTAACTTTCCTCCTCAGATTTTTGAAAGAATCCTGTGGAAGCTTAACGTGCTGATAACATCCCGCCATGTGCTCGAGCACGCCCTGGGGGTGCGGCACCCTGAACTCCAGGTTCAGGGCCTAGGTGTCCCAGTGAGCTGGTCCGGTTGGGCCATGCCAGTTGCCAGGACCTTCTTAGCTTCTGTTGCTTCTCTAAAGATGGGCGACAGTTGCCTCAGGGGATTGGCAATTCAGTGGAAGGGCTCTGAAACCTGAAAAGTGCTGTCTGAATTTGTTTCACTCTATGTGTATTTTCACCTTTGTCTAGGAGAGGTACAGTGTTTTTCTGCTAGGATAAAGGTCATACTTTGAAAATAATTTGGAAATCAGTTCCTAAAAATGGAAGGTGAATTTTGTTTTTGCTTTTAACATATAGAAGTGAGAACTGAGGGAGACACATGAAATAATGTATGTTTTCCTCTTCCAGGCGATTGCTCTCCTAACGGAACTAATCAGGGAGAACGTCAGGAACAGCAAATTGAAACAGTGCCTTTTGCCACCCCTTGGGGAGCTGATTTACCTCGTGGCCACCCAGGTGAGACTGGCTCACCGCTGACGTGTTCAGACAGACCTGGTGACTGGTGCGGACGCAGCAGTCTTGCCTTCACCCCTGTGAGCACGCCGAGGAGCACCGGAGACGTTTCACCTCCGGGGAAGAGAGTTTCTTGCCTGTCTCCTCCCTCCCTCCAGGGCCTGTCTTCCTGAAGTGTAGGGTACTCTCAGCACTCATCTCAAAACTGAAGGGCTGGGAGTGCCCAGAGCATCACCGTGTTTGACTCCTTCAGGGAAGGGGAGGCCACTGGGGCTCCCAGGATAAATGCTCCATTTCTGTTTAAATAAAACAATACTTGGTGCAAGTACAGCTTTTTTTTTTTTTTTTCCAGATACAGCTTTTAATGTGACTGTGGGACTCGTGAAGGCAGGATTTGACTTGTTATTTCTACAGTTACAGTGTGGAAGTGCTATTGAGTTAAACAGGGAACACTTCCGTTAATGTGTTCTTGCTGGTTTGAACCACTGGTGGTGGATACGTGACTGTCCATTGGGTGGCATGAAGGTCCCATTGGGCGGTACATTGTCACCCTATGCATGTACCACCAGTGGCTCAGAGCCACCCAGCATTGAGACGTACGAGTCATGGGCCCATCATGAATGCGTTAAAGGGTATTATTGAATAGATAATGATAAATTACAGGCTGGTCATATCATGTGATACTCTTAAAGAGTTTTAAATAGATCCGAATAGGTTTTAAATTTATAAGGAACTTGGACCTCAAACTTACGTTACCTATTCTAAATATTCTTAATATGGAAATTAAACCAGCTTTGTCCTAAAACAGTACAGTATTTGTGGTTGCTCAGGGCTGTAGTTGGTGCTGGCATCGCACCGCACGCAGCCTCTGCTCCTTGTGTTCCCTCGGCATTGGTGTCCTGGCCTGATTGGTCCTTGGAGTGTTAGGATAAACTTTGGAGTCAGCTTGTCTAATGCTGTAAATCATCTTTTCTTTCTCTCTCTCTGTTTTTTGGTACGAGGAATCAAACTCAGGACCTTGCGCTTGCCAGGGCAGGTGCTTGTGCCACTGAGCTACATATCCGGCCCAAATCATCTTTTCTTAAAAACTGCTGTGATTATGCAGTTAAGTTTGAGAGAAACTGCTGTCTTCATGACTTTTAGGCTTCTCATGAATGTTTGGAGTAGTACTGCATCTGTGTATTGGTTAGGAAAGTATTGATGTCTTTATGATATTTAGTCTTCTAATGCACAAAAAGCAGTGTTGGCAAATATTTATATTTTTAAAATCACTTCTGTCCCTGTTATTTCATCTCATTCAGAAAGCTTTGTTTTTTTCTTTCAGAAAGCTTTTTGTACTTGTCTTTTTTTTTTTGTCTTTTTTGAAACAGGGTCTCAATATGTAGCTCAGGCTGGCCTTGAGCTCACTTTGTAGCCCAGGCTGGTCTCGAACTCGCAACGATCCTCCTGCCTCAGCCTCCTGAGTGCTGGGATTACAGGCATGCGCCACCATGCCTGGCCCTTGTATGTCTTTGGTTGAATTTATTTTTAGGTACATATACGTTTTGAAGAGCCAGTATATTCAGGAACCTGGAAAAGGAGGATGTAGAGACAGGCACACAGGGAAGTCCTTTTCCCGTTTGTGTACCACATCTGCCCAGTTCTCCCCTGTGTAACCACTGTAGTTACTTTCTTATGTGTACAGAGTTCACTTTGTATGTACGAGCAAAAAGAAATGAAAGTTTCCATTTTGCCTCATTTTATAGGACAGGTAGACACTTGCTCTTTCCCGTGGGAGTTGCATGTGGATGGGTGTGTGCATCCTGCCCCGTGGACGCAGCAGTCAGCTGCCCTGCCCCGTGCCTCGCCTAACCCTGTGCCTCGAGGAGCTCAGCGCCCACCTGCCGTGTGTCCTCGGGGCTGCAGTGGGGAGCAGCACCCCGCTTTCGGAGCTCTGGGCTGCGGCAGGTTTCCACCTGGTTTTCACCGTGGACAGACCTCAAGGCCTTGGTGTCAGACACCGGTTTACTAAATTCTGCAGCCTCAGAATAAAGTCGGCATCAGTACCCCACTCACCCCTGCTTCCAGTTGCCTGAATTTGGACTTAATTCTTCCTGTTCCTGTCAGGTCTCTGATGCATTGTAAGAGCGTCAGAATCAAACCAGGTACTTTGAGGAGAAGGGCAGTCGGGTCTTTAGCCTGCCGTCTCATCGCTGTGGGAGTGGAGTCCAGGCTTTTTGTCCTGCTGCTTGTGTTTGTCCTCCCCTCATTTAATGCTATAATTAATACGTAATGACCTGCACATTTCTCTTGCTCTGGGGATCAAACCCAAGGCCTTTGCGTTGAGCTACACCTTCAGCCCTTTTAAAATTATTTATTTATTTTCAGTGCTGGGCATTGAACCTAGGCCTTTTGAGCTGAGCTACATCAAAACTCTTTCAAACAATCTCCAAATTTTAAGACAGGATCTTGCAAAGTCACTCAGTTACCCAGGCTAGACTTGAACTTGCCCTCCTCTTGCCTCAGCCTCCTGGAGTGCTAGGGTTACAGGTGTGCACCACCATGCTCAGGAAACTGTACATTTTAAAGAAAAGGTTATAATTTGACAATTTTTTATTATTGTTATGAATTTTTATTATCAAAATGATTACATCTCTTGTGAAAGTTCTAATGTTACAGCAAGGTGTAAACACTCCACTTGAGAAAGAAGTGATACTTCTTCCTTCCAGGAGTCCCCGTTTGACAAATTTTGATGTATGCCTACACTATTGAAACTATCACCACAATCAAGATAATGAGCCTGTCCTTCACCTCCGAGGGTATTCAGCAGGCACCCTTGGCAGTGACTGATTTGCTTTCTGTCCTACAAGCTCGTTTGCATTTCTGTAATTACATGTAAATAGGGCCCCGAGGCTCATACTCCTGTTCGTTTCTGTGGTAGACAGAACCCTTTCCTTGGTGTGCACTGGAGCTGGACACAGCCGGACTGTGAGGGGCGGTTCTGTGCCCTGACATTCGACCACATCTTGTGGGAGCCAGCCAGGAAAGGACGTGGAGTTCCTGGGTTTATGAAAGTAGCTCTTGGTGAGGCGAGGGTTTTTGTGGAACCGTTGCTTTAAATGTAGGTGAAGCACAAGGGAAAGGAGTCAGGTGGCTTCAGGTCCGAGGAAAAGCACTGGCGAGTGTACTGGGTTGAACAGTGCTTGTGCCGCTGGGGACCCAAGTGGTGCTTCATGTTTCCCTGACTGCAGAGTGACCAGGAGGGGTGTCATTGGGCGGGAGCCATCAGAGTCCCACCAGGGTGGGCGTGGCCAGGCAGGGGGCGGAGCCTGCTCCGGCGCCACCCATCAAGGCAAGTCCAGGCCTCAGGAGTCCAGAGAAGGTGGAGCCAGGCAGGTCCTGAGCCCAGAACACGGCTTGGGGCTGGCAGCTACTCCTGTGGTAAGGCGAGCAGGTGAGGCACCCAGAAAGGCGCAGTGGGGAATGGTCCTTCAGGAGAGGGGTGGCCAGTGTGCTGGTCTGGTGCCACTGACCAGAGGCCGTGGTGGGCACTCTGCTTGGTGGCATCCTCTCCCTGAGAGCCCAGCTGCCTGCGCACTTCCTCTGGGTTGGGGTCCCTCAAGCAAGGCCAAGTCATCGAAAGGGAGTCGGTGCAGGTTTCGGGCCTGGATCTAAGTGGCCAGGAGCGGAGAGGGGCTGAGGGCCAGGGCAGAACCCACGCTGGTGGTGGCCGCTGGGGATTTGAACAGGTGGGCTGGGTGAGGCGGGGCTTGTGTTTAGAAATAATTTGGGTTCTGAATAGTTTTGAATTGGAGAGCTTCTAATCATAATCACACCAACCTCCAGTGACCACAAGTGGGATTTTATTGCTAAGTCAGTTATGGTTTTAGGAGGTCGCAGTTCTCATCAGGGACATAGAATACCTTTGATCGATAATGTACCAGGTCTGTCATGTGACTGAATAGGACCGAATTTTTCCTTCTGTAAAAAGATTCCTGTTTTACACTAACGTGCTTAATTTTCTGTAAGAGAATGACTGCCGCTGTCATTGAGATCAGCGGGGCTGCTAACCCTATTGCGTAGCTCCGTCAGCGGGCTGCCTCACCAGCCAGCAGCGTGTCCTTGGCTGTCCCGAGTGTGCCCCCCGGCTGAGGCTCTGAGGCTCCGAGCTTCCGACCCCTGCGGCTGCAGTCTGCTGTGAGGCGGGGAGGCCGGTGTCTCCATCTGGGGTTACGCGCAGCGGGCCTTCGGGTCGGCTCCCACGGCACTGGCTTCCGCGCGGGGGAGCTCGGGCGCGGTGTGGGAGAAGCGCGGCCTGTGTGTGCTGAGGTCAGAGACTCTTGCCTGTCACCGTTGCGGGGAGCTGTCGTGTGGTGACTTCAGCAGGACATTAAGTTCTGTGTTGTCTGTGCTCTTCAGCAGACTCATGCCTTTCCTTCCGCTTTGTTTTAGGACAAGAAGAGCAAGCCGGCCCGACAGTGCTGGGCCGTCCCCTCGGCCACCTACACCGTGCTGCTGAGGTGCCTGCGGGAAGGGGTAAGTGCTGCTCCGGGCCTTGGGGCGCAGCGCTGGCCCTGCAGGCCCCGTGTGAGCGGTCAGCCCGGGGTGCACCCAGACCAGACTCCTCCCCCAGCGGAGCAGCTGCAGCCGTGGAGACGACCCGCTTTTCATTCCCTTGCTCAGTGGCCGGCTTTGGGAGATGGCAGCAGATACCTGCAGCGTGACTGCATTTACTAACAGCATGTCCTTCACCGCCCCAGATCGCTGCTTCTGCTGTCGGAGCGTCCTCTGCAGCTGGTGCCTCGTTGTCCTGTCAGGTGCCATGTGGAGTTAGAGAAGGGGAGCTTTGGCCAGGGTCCCCTGAGCTTAATAATGAGCAGCGTTTGTTGGGTGGTGTGATTTTCCGCCTTAGTCCCCCCTGGCTCACACCGCCCTCCTCTGCACACGCAGCTCCTGTGTGTTTGCTTTCTGTGATCTGACGTCGTGTGACCCAAGGCAGAGACAGGGACTAGAGTGATTCTCAGGGAGTGACGGAGTCCACTGGCTTGGGCCTCCTGCCTGGGCCCCCAGGTGGAGCCTGTGATTCTGGGATAGGACACTGCATCCACTGTATCATCATCCCTAGGTTAGTCATTTTCACCTGCAGCCAAAGGCGCAGGAGGCTGTCGGGCACATGGATGTGGAGGGTGCGGTCCTGTGTGCACACTGGTCTCACCTCCGGGGACATGGGATGAGAACAGGAAGTGTAAGATGTCAGCCGTATAAATGTGGAAGAACAAACACAGGAGTACAAAGAAGGAGGGGCCTCCTCAGGACCCTTCATAGTATACAGAGCTCCTCAAAATTTTTATCTGCAATTTTTAGAACTTAAATTTTTGCCTAGGGAAACTTTGTCACTTACAACCCCTGAGGTTGTATCTTTTCCCCATATCTCCCCCATGCTTTTTACTGGACATGGAAGGCGAAGATGGACGTCTGATTGAGTGTGTGTGGTGTGATGTTACTTAATAACCTTCAATGACTGTAAGCTAGTGATAGGGTTTGTATTTTAGTAACATACTTTTTATTGCCTTGTATGAAGGGCAAGTCTGTATTTTTCACAAATGGGGAACTCATGACTTCTGGAATTTTGAAAAACTTTATATTTGAAATCAGTTATGAATGTGTTTTTGCAGAACATACACTACCGTGGTCCTTACAAAACAAGTAAACAAGGGAGGGATTGTTTCCCCTATAAAAAGGATTTTTATTCAAAAAATTAAAAAAATTGAATTATAGTAGATCTTGAAGTAACAAATTTGCTAAAGCATTCAGGAACTAGTTCAAGGTAGAAGGATTTTTAAGCCTTTTGTATGTAACAGTTTTCAGCATTACTGGTATTTCTGAGTATAATTTGTGAACTATGCCTTGTATGCAGAAGAGTATATGAAATGTATATGTGTTGCTGAAAACACATTCCCATATACCCTCTTTACAAAGAGGAGGGAGAGCTGGTATGGCACCGCACCTATAAGCCCAGCACTCTAGGAGGCTGAGACAGGAGGATTGAAAGTTCAAGTCTAGCCTGGGCAACTTGGCGAGTCTCTGTCTCAGATAAGAAACAATGTAGCTCCGTGTGAAGGCCCCAGGTTCAGTCCCTTCACATGGATACTGATACGTGTCACTTCAGCCGCAGGCGTTCTGTGTGTTTCTGGGCCGTAATCTTTTGTCGCTGTGTGTTGCAGATACTTAACTTGTGATTAGGCAAGATAATGCACTTGTTATCAGCTGGTAGGCAGAGTTAGTGTATCTCAGTTTATTGGCCCATTCCTTCATGATGTGTGCTTCGTGTGTCTTAGAGATGCCTCCTTACTCTGCAGTCACAGAGATGGTCTCTGGCATTTTCTCCTAAAAGCATCATCATTTTTCTTTTCCATGAGGGCTCTAATCTACTCTTCTTGCTCCCTGTGTGGTCCTCCCGGGCCCAGCTTTCCTTTCTGAAGTGAAGTTGGGTCCCCCGTTGTCCCATGTTGCTGGGAGTCTGTCCTCTCCACTCTTGGACGAGGTCTGGTTGCTGTGAAGGCCACTTCTTGGGTTCCCTTGGGTGCCCTCGCCCTGTCTGTCTGTCTGTCTGTCTGTGCCTCATGGTGTAAATAGCTCTGACTTTTAGTGATTTCTTTAATGTATGGGGAGTTTTTTCCTACCAAGATAATCCTTTTTCCTCCAGGTGTTTCTTAGCTATTTTTTCTCCATTTCCCTTGCACGTGGATTTTGGAATCGGCATTTTGATTTACCTCCTGGGGTGGCAGTTGCGCATAGGTCTGTGCCTAGGCTTGGGGAGACGTAGGTGATACACACACGCGGGGCAGACGTAAGGGAAAGACTGGCAGAGGGGCACAGGCTGGAGAACGGTGAGATAAGGACGCCAACTGCTCCAGGCCACGTCCGGCTGTGTTACGAAGCCCTCAGCTCTCCCTGGTGTGGGCCCTGCTCTTCCCAGCTCACGTTCATAAACATGTTCATCTGTTGTTCCCCGGCCGGAGACAGAACAGGCAAAGACCGCGCGGAAAGAGAGGTGTTTTCCTCAGAGTCCTTTGTTCTGTACCCCGGCTGCTGCTTTACATCACTTTTGTACATCATTGGCTTTCTTTCTTGTATCGTTACTAAGACACGTAAGGCTCTGAATTTTTCACCCCCTCTAGTGTTAGTGATAGTCCACTAATTTTGACATCTGATTATCGTTTATAGCTAGTGCCTAGCCATAGTTCTAAATTTTTTCTTCTTCTAGGTTGTCGATGGGATGGTTTAAACCTTTTCTGTTGGGTGGGAGTTAGTGCCATTCTTCTGCTTTTGTTGAAACAATAAAGTTGTTCCCTGCCTCCCTTCTCGGGACCTTGTGCATGCTAGGTGAGCACTCCACCACAGAGCTATACCTCCAGCCCTTTTTATTCAGAGACAAGTTCTCACTAAGTTGCCCGGGTGGGCCTTGAATGTGATCTTCTGCCTCCATCTCTTAATTAGCTGAGGTTATAGGCATACGCCATCATGCCTGGCTCTTTCTGTCTGGAAAAAAAACCCCCAAAAACTATGGTTTTCTGTAGATAAAGATAAATACTACATAAAATTGGGCATTTTAACCACTAAGTTTAGAAATCTGTGGCATTAGCAGATTCATTTATTTTATTTCTCCTGTTTGAAAATCAATTGGGAGATGTTCCTTTGCTTATTTCTCCCTTTATTCTCACATTCAAACTTAAATGTACTCATCATAAAGAAATGATAGAAGTTGAAGGTACCAGGCGTGCTCATTACCTGATGTGACCGTTACTCAGTGTATATATGGTTCAGACTGTCGTGTTGTGTCTCATAAAAATGTACACATATCACATGTCACTCAAAAAGCAGAAGTCAGGGCGGGGCATGCAGCTCAGTGGCGGCTCACCTGCACAGCATGCGGGACCGGGCTTCCACCCCCTGTGTGGCCCGAAGTCAGAGACACTGAAGAGCCGTGTGCCCTGTGGAATGTGGCGGGGTTCTGCTGTGGCCCTTTTCCTCCTCTGATCTGTGCTTTGGGAAGAAAGCAGTGGAGAGATTTTGCTTTTATGGGTATGGAGCCCTGTTGTGAAGGTGATGTTGGTTTTAAATTATAAGTTACTTTGCGTATGGCTCACGGAAAGCGGCTTTGCTCCAGGATTTATCGGCGTTATGCACAGGAATGGTTTTCTCATGCACATGTTAGAATACTTGCGGTGAACAAGGCAGACACTTCCTTTTGTTCTGGGCCCTTTTAACAACTTCTGTGTGGGCATCTATTCGAGGGATGTTGCACGCGACATCGCCGGGCAGTTTGGCCACAGTCCTTCCTCTCCTGGGTCATGAGCTGGGGTGCGCCTGGGGAAGGAAGCAGGGCTGCCACCCAGACTCGTGAGGGAGCCGCAGAGCCTGAACATACTGCAGTGTCCCGTGACTCCATGGCCTCCTCCCTCAGGCCGGTCCACCTGGCGGATGTGGAGCTGTTCCTTAGATGTCCCCTGCTCTTGTAGAGACAGATGCTCAGAGGAGGGGGGCAGAGAAGCAGCAGCGCTGCTCTGACGTTCAGGAGCGTGGTAAGTGCTGACTGCGCTGGCCTGGCGTTCAGAGACCTCCAGCCGGGAGCCCAGAGATGCAGATCCTACTCCTAGAGGCGCTGCTGTCCAGAGGTGGGACACTGCCCACCCCGAGGACGCCCTCTGGTGGCAGCTTGTACTAAAACGCCCTGGATTGGGCCGTGTGGGTCACAGGACGGCCCCTGCCAGTGTGGTGGGCCTGGCAGCAGGGGCCCTCTCTGGGCCTTTGTCCTCGCTGCTGCGTTGACCGTGGGGAACTGTGGCGCTGGGTTTCCATGATGATGTTGCTCGCGCATTCCGGGCAGGGAGCCTGAGAGAGTCAGAGCCCCGCCTGCGGACTCTGAGACATGCCCCTGAGAGTCCCCGCGCAGAGAGGGAAGGGGTCTGCATCTGCATCTCAGCAGCGCCAGTGTCTCCTTGAACTTGCATAATTGTGTAATTACAGGTGCCGAGCTGACGCCTGGCATATGTTGTATTTAAAAATGTAAGGTTCAGAAAACACACTGTTGGCTTTATTACTCATTCCTCAATGAAAGCTTGTTAGGTAGATTTGATGCAACAAAATTCTTTTAAGAGGAAATTTAATTTTCATTTGTTAATTAGAGCTCTTTGTTCTTTTTTGAGAAAACAATGGTTAATTGTTTATGTGTTTAATTAGAGCAGACTTGGCTTGAATTAAAAAGACGCACTGGAAATGTCAGCCTCATCCGTACTGTCACTGAAGGCCGAGGCAGCGAGGTGAGGTTCAGCTCCCGGCTTTTGACAGCCACTGGAACACAGTTTCTTCTCCTTTGTTGCTGCTGTTGTGACCTTAAGTTTAGTCTCCCCAAGGAGGAAATGTTGTGCCCCGGCTTCCTGGGTGGGGACTCAATGTGTGTGGAATAAGCATGATGCATTGTGTAGTTTTTTCTTGTAAGTGTCACTGTGAAGCCAGGCATAGTGCCTCAGGCCTGTAATCCCAGCACTTGGGAGGCTGAGGCAGGAGAATTACCTGGAGTTCAGGGCCAGCCTGGGCTATATAGTGTGTTCAAGGCCAATCTGGTTAAATATATAGCACAGCCCTGTCTGAAAAACCAAAACCCAAAACAAAACAAAATCACTGTGAATGTGGTAATTGAGAGATTTCTGCTTTTCTGAATGCTGTTATTAGCACGGTGCAGGGAGGAAGGGGCAGCCAGCCGTGTCACGATTAGTCTGTGCCTGGGGAAGCGTTCTGTCAGATACCAGAAATGTCCCAGTTGCTGGGGGACAGCAAAGCACGGTGCAGCGGGTCCCGCCTTTGGAACTTTCAGAGGTGCACGTGTAAGACTCACCAGCTCACAGACGCACCTCACTTACGAGCAGTTCTCCTGCAGTGGAAGTCACCTGTGAGTCGGGGGCTTACTGTATGTATGGGATTTCTTTTCTAACCACGTCAGAGTTTGTGCTGTGTCATTTCTAGCCACTCCAGCGCTCTTACCGAACGCTCTGACCGGTAGAAAACAGACCCCTTAGGGCATTCGCTGCTTCCCGTGACCCAGGCGATGAATGTGTGGCTCGTGGAGTGCAGAACCAGGATTCAATTTATGCTGAATATTTTTATGTTTTACTTGAAAAAGATACGTGGTGTTACAAAGGGATACATACCACAACACTCCAAATAAAGCACAGATGTCCACAGTAGGCTTAGCGGACCCCTCACCCCCACAGCCCAGCCCTCTGGCAGCTGTGCTCACCGTGGACCGGGCCACGTTCTCCCCACAGTACATACCTGGTGACACAGTGATAGACGTGTGTTTCCGTGTTGGTCAGATGCGGGTTTGTAGAATGCTTCTTCTCTTTTGTGTGCTCTTTAATATTTCTAGTGAAGGTATTACACACGAAACGAAATGCTTAGATATCTAATGTTAGTGCAACTAACTGTCAATGTTTTCTCTCAGTCTGAGGCACCGTGGGCTTAAATGGTGTCATTATGAGCAGAAATCTAAAATTTTGTTCAAGTTCAATAATTGTTTTCTTGCTTGCTTACTTTTTTCCGTCCTGCCGAAGAAGGCATTGTCTACTCAAGATAGCATAAGCTTACTGTCTCTTCTAGAAGCATAATTATCTTAAAATTAAGTTTGTGATTCTTCTGAAAGTGCTTTTAGAGCATGGAGTCTGCTGAGACCTTTTTGGTGGTCCAGAGCCTGGTCATGTGGTGTGCACTCTACTTTGGTTGAGTGGAATTGTCTCTGAATGCTGGGTTGGTTGGTTGTATTATCCACATTTTCTTTGTCCTTACTGACCTTTTATTGCTCGTATTGGCTTATTATTATCCATTTTTCCAGCATATATCTTTATCACAGTTGATATACTATGATATACAAGTAATGTGATGCACAAATTCACATACAAACCCTGTGTAATGCTAACATCTCTTCCCTGAGAGCCTTCCTCGGTCGGGTAGTGTGTGGAGCATGCATAGCATCATGTACCATATTTGGAAGCCACGTGTAGGAGCCGTACTCAGGCTAATGTATTCTCCTTCCAGGCTTTCTAGTATTGCACATTTTCACTTCTACATCTATTAAAGGCCTCACGAGGCTGTCATATTTGTGCTTTAAACACTTCCTTGTGTTTTAAAGAGGTTGAAATTGAAAGAAAAGTCTATGATATTTACTCACATTTAGCACTCTTACTCTCCATTCTCTTCTATAAATCATGTTCCTTTCATTGTGATTTTCCTTCTAGCTTAAGAAGTTCCTTTACTATTTTGGAGTGCAGTTCTGCTGGCAATGTATTTTCTCAGCTTTTGTTTTTTTTTCTGTTTTCTTTTTTGGAACTCAGCTTTTGTATGTCAGAAATATGTTCATTGTGCTAACAATGTCTAAGGCAAACAGATACCAGTTGTGCATGTGTATGGGGTGTGCCGTGCTGTTTCTCTCTGCACCCGTTTGAGAACGCTCGCACCAGGCTCAGAGCGCATCGTCACCCCAGGCGCTTGTCATTCTTTTGGGCGAGCGGGTTCGGTTGTGGTACGTATTCCTCCTTTCCGGCTGCCCGCAGCTGCGGCCCCTGGCTGTGTCCTGCCTGCCTGCAGTGCTGGGCCTGTTGGCAGCGTCTTCTTGTCCTGGTTGCTGGCCACCCGCCTCTGCTCTGCTGCCCACCGCTGCTGCCTTCAGCCATCCACAACTGCACTTCTCGCAGTTGAATTTTCTTAAGAATCCTATTCTCCTGCTTTGCATGACCGATCCTAAATAGGATATCAGATACTGTGACTTTTCTACTGTTGGGTTTTGAATTTTTCTTGTGATTCGTTAAGCATTTTGAACGTTTTCTTAGACTTACTTATGTGACTTAAAAGCAGTTTGAGGGCTCAGAGGCCGACTTCTAAGCATCGTTAGATGATCTGGAGTACTTTGTCACACTGGTGAGGTGGCACCTTCTTAGGACTCTGGGTCCTCTTGGATTTAGGTGGACTTTCCACGCTGGCTGATGGGTGCCTGGCCACTCCTAGCCCCGGGGACGTGGGTTGTTCGGCCTGCTCCCTATAGCTTTAAAAACACTGTCTGACTTTCGTGTTATGCTTATGTTACTTGTTTCCCAGATTATTTTAGTATTTATTTTTGGTGCTTGGGGTTGAACCCAGGGACTGCTAAGCTACATCCCTGGCCTTATTTATTTATTTATTTTTTCAAAATTTTGAGATGGCATCTCAAGGAGTTGCTCAGGCTGTCCTGAAACTCGTGAGTCTCCGGCCTCAGCCTCCCGAGTAGCTGGGATTACTGGTGTATGCCCGCCACACCTGGGACAATTTTTATTAAAATATACAGAGGATTATATTCTGCTAGCTTGTTGGAATATGTGGAGAATTGTGTTCTGCTAGATTGCTAATGAATAACCAAGTCATTATTTTTAATCGTTTCGTAATAAATAACCTGAGAGTTAACACACCCCTGGGACACTTAACACAGCAAGGGACAGATGCTACAGTTTTGGTAAAATGTCACGGTGGTTCTGTGGAAGGGCTGTGCATGTGTTTCTCGTACTGGGTGAAACTTCCAATCTTTTTCTTCTTTGCTCTAGGAAGAGCGTGTTGTGAATCACATGGCGGCAAAGATTATTGAAAACGTGTGCACCACCGTGTCCGCGCAGGCCCAGGGCTTCATCACTGGGGAGATCGGGCCTGCTCTGTGGTTCCTGTTCAGACACTCCACCGTGGACGCCCTCAGGATCACGGCGATCTCGGTACGGCTGGGCGTGCACCTACTGCTGCGTGTGCCAGAGAGTCAGTTTAATTGTACGTAGAGTCAGGAATCAGAAATCTTAGAATAATCGTTGGCGAGAGCAGTAACTCAGGTTTCCCTAAGCAGGGGCTGGAAAACCTTGGTGCAGTCAGGGAATTCCAGTATTCCTTGCAGGAAACCAGGACCTGTGGTTTTAGAGCTGTCTGGAGATGCCCGTGGAGGACACTGCTGCAGGGGGCCCTGAGCCTGGCTTTGCTGCCTTTACAGCTTTTTTGCCTTTTCCAGCCAAGGCCCTCGCTCCTGTCTGGGCTCGGATCTTTGTCACTTGTGGCCTGCTGAACTCCTGTACCGTGTGGGCAGCGGACGCATCTGCGTGCACCTTCCCTTCGCAGCCTCCCAGGCAGTGACGGTGGCCGCAGTTCTCGGCCTGTTGGTCTGCCCCCACCCCTGCCCGGGAGCCTGGCGCTGTCCTCTGGTCACTGTCACCGGCTGCTGCTGTGCTTTCCTCCACCTTGAATCTCTCCTTCTCCACGAGATCCTTGTAGTCAGGCGTCACGTGTTTTTTCCTCTGCCCCATTTTTTTTTCTAAGCACAAATGCAGCAGGAACCTTGGGCTGCTCACACCTCCCCACAGACGCGCTCTCTAGAGTTAGCGCAGGCCGTGTCGTCCTTTCCTGCCGGTCTCCTGTGTGTCTCGAATGTGTAGGTCTTTACGGGTCGTTGTCAGCTCTCACGTCACCGCCATTGGATGGACAGAGATGCCAGTTCTGTACCAAGCGTGGAGCCACCCAGGAGATTCCAGGGCCCCCGGGTGTAGGTGCAGAACCCTGGGGTCGCTTTGCTATGGACAGAAGCAGATCAAGCAGGATGTCACATGGGATCGGTGCTGCGGCCTGCTCTCCCTCGAGGACTTGCTTGGTTAGCTGTAGGGGATTTCGTAAAACAGACACAAAAAATTCTAAAGAGAGCACCAACAAAATTCTCTGGGAGGCCCCAAGGTTACAGCCCCACCCACCGCACCCCAGCCCTTACTGGGTGCAGGGTGTGTGTGGCTGTAGGTGGGGTGGAGCTGGCTTCCTGTACCATTCATTGCCTCCTGCCACAGGTGGGAAGTTTGCCAGCCTCCCTCCAGCCTCCCCTTTGAGGTGTATCCTTAAAAACTGGGAACTGGAGCCTCAGTCCCTAAAGAAAGAGCGAGTCATCTCCTGCTGCACGCAGGCCTAGAGAGCTGGTCTTTTGGGAAGTGGTAAAAGGCAGCTAGCCGAGGAGCAGCAGCTCCAACACTGTCTTACAGCCTGGGGTTGCAAGAGAGAGTCCTCATGTCCAGGCTTTCTCTGCCCTTGGAGAGGGTGGCGACTCTCAGACCTGCCCGACAGACCCACCCTGCACTCAGCAAGAACCAGGAAGGAGTGTAGAGGGGCCTTGGAGCTGAAGATAGTGGGATTTGATGGGCTCCTCTGCGATGCCAGGAAAGGAAAACCAGGGTGGGCTCTGGTCTCCCTTCCCCTCCCACCTGGCTGCCCTCCTTGCTGGGACCATTCAGTCCTCCTTGGGCCCTGATCCCCACCTTATTTCCCCTTCAGATAAGCAAGCAGGGGACCCGTGGTGGGAGGATCCTATCTGGATTGTGTTCTCTTTCCCTTACATGAGCTAAGACAGAAGGATTTGGGAAGTTTTATGAGGACCCAGGCAGCCTTGTTGAGAGCTTACAGAGGTGGAACAGAGCTGCTGCTGAACCTGTGACGGTGTCTGTCTCCAAGTCGGCCCCGCTGGATAAACGCGGAGGGCAGACAGCACCTTGCGCGGGTGGCTGGAGAGCCCAGCCTGCAGGTGGGACGTGACTCCTCGCTGAGACCCTGGTGACAGAAAGGATTTGAGACACCGTCACTTTGCCGTGTGTGTCCTGGAGGCCTTCGAAGATCCAGGGTTAAGCCTGTCAATTACCAAAAGCTCCCAAAGATTCAGAGGGACTGAGAGGGGCCTGCTGACTTCCTAAAAAGACTCAAAGAGGCTCTAAGAAACACCTGTGTCTCGGCTGAGTCTCTGGTGGGAGTCTCAGGTGGTCTCAAGGGTAAGTTTCCTACCCAGGCAGCCCCTGATACTAAAACCAAAAGCTGAGAAAACTGGACCTGGCACCAAAGACCCCACTCAATGATCTCCCAGAACATGCCGCCGAAACCTTTTCCATGAGGCAAGGAGGCCAGGGAACGGGGCCGTGTGGACAAAGAAGGGCCACCCGTTGCAGCTGTAAACCTGGCTCGGGGTGCCCAGGGGCCTCCTCCCGATAGTAATACGACTGCTACCCATATGGGAAGCTGCAATGCTTCGAATGAGAGCACAGCCGGGCCCCTGAATCCTGTCCCAGATGGAGAAAAGGCCTTGGGGAGGCCTGTCCCGAGGGCCACCCCAGACCTCCCATGCGATGACCCAGCAGTACCAGGGGACCCGGGGCCTAGATCTGAGGTGCCCGCTACCCCATCGGCGCCTCTGGAGCCCCGTGATGCATCTGGCGGAGAGTGAATTGTTAACGCTCTCGGGCCACCTGCCTGGCCTCTCCGTTCTGTTCCTGTAGGGGATCCCTGTCCCCGTCAAGGCCTGTAGCCAGGGAGGCCCAGGAAACAGTTCCTCCATAGCCCGATGAGCCTTGAACTGTGGCTGGGAAGATTTTTCATCTGCTCTTTTCTTTTGAAGTCTGAGAGCTTCACATTGGGAAGAGACTGACTGACCGGGATGAAAACAACTGTTTTAACTGCTTCTGGTCAAAGTCTCATCCTCCTGCTTGGCAGACTACAGTAGACCCCAGGTTCGGGCCGAAGGAGGGCAGATGGGATGGGGAGTTACTGCCCCTGAGGTAAAACTTGGCATTGGAGGCACTGCCTCATGTCCACCCCAGAGATGATACTTATTAAGACCAGAGGCCCAGAGCAGCTAAAACGGGTACAAAACACCTCAAAACACAGGGCCTTTACCACCTTGCTATCCTGGGGATCAGTACAGGGCCTTAGGCTGTTACCGCTTCCCGGTGCTCGACCCTCCCGGTACACCGGGCCCTTGAGTTACCACGGCCTGACGTACAAACAACTTGGGTTATGGCCGGAGTTTTAGTTTTAACTTAGGGCCAAAGTCTTGAGTTGGGATCCAAATGCAGCTGCTTGGGCTTCCAGATGGGCTCAGATACAGGTTTAACCTTAAAGAATTGTGGGAGGAACATGACAACACCCTCTCCTGCCTGGGGTTAACTGAGAAGTCCTGGATCAGTGTCTCTCTAAGGATGCTGAGCTCTGCCTGTACACAGGAGAGAGACTTTGAAGGCCGTGTGGAGGTGCCTGAGCCTTCAGCTGACCGCCTGAGCTACAGCCAGCCCTGGAGAGCACATTGAGTTCCTGAGTCAAGGGTCCACTGCGCCGCTGACCCTGGCTCCAGAGCACTGCAGCTGGCTCTCGGTCCTTCACTCATGGATGCTTTCTTTTGCTGCCCTGTACACCCACTCTCAGTCCCTCCGCCTTTGAGGGCCCCACCCCCGGGAGCCTCTGGTTAGCCTGCAGGTCTCGCCACGGGGCTTCCGTGTGGGCCCTGTGTGTCTGGACTGGCTTCCTGCAGGGTGTGCTCCCCTTCTCCTGCCCTCAGGCGAAGGTGCCCCAGCGTTTGGTGACTGCCTGGTGTGAACCCAACCGAGGAGGAAGTCACCAGGGAAGCCAAGCCCTCAGCTTCCCGCACAAGGGGCTCACAAAGCCCGCTGTGGCAGCTCTCAGCCCAGTGTTTGGGGTTAATCACTTCAAGGGGAGCCTGAGCCCTAGGAAAAGAGCAATGGAGCTGATGCCTCATTCCTCCCCCGAAAAGTCTTAAAGCAGTTGAAAGGCTTCCTGGGAATTCTGGTTCTGCCAGCGAGCATCCTGAGTATGGAGAAGTAGCCCAGCCCCAGTACCAGGTGCTCGAAGATGAGCTCCCCGAGCGCTAGAGAGCCCCTGAGACCCTGACGCAGACACTGGGGGCCTGCTCTGGGCATGCGCAGAGGCTGCTCATTCGTCCTCCATCTCCAGAGGGAGTGGCTGTGGGAGGACTGCCCAGGGGAAAGTGCAGGCTCAGCAGGCTGGGGAGATTTGAACCAAGAATTAGGCCTGGTGGTTATGGGATGGCAAGCTTGCCTTAGGGCTGTTGCCTTGTGACTCTTCGTCCCTGATGCCTCCAGACTGACCTTGGGCAGACCTGAGGTCGTGGTGGTTTGGATTGCTGGCCTCCGAGGGCAGCCTCTGGCTGTCTCATAGTGGGCAGTGCTGCTAGAGGGGCCGGCCCTTCCGACCGGGACCTGCCCACCACCATATCCAGCTACTTTCCTCCCAGCCAGACATCGGCAGAACTGGACACTCCATTGTGAACAGCTGGTGCTGGGGAGGATGGAAAGAATCCCCCTGAAACACCCACACTGCTCCCCTTTTGGCAATAAAAGTTCATTGTGCAAAATGAAAGTGAACAGGTGGGATATGCCCTAGTGACCCATCCTAAACCCCTGTGAGTTGTTCGCTCGTGGCAGAGACCGACACCTGTGGGCTGAGTTCATGGCCCTCACTGGGTGCTGGAACTTAGCAGAGCAAAGCAGACCAGCACGTGTACTGAGTCTGCATGTGCTCTCCTTGTCCTCCAGCCCCTGCAGCTGCGTGAAAAGAGAAAGCTTCCCTGCAGCCTCCAGGTGCGCCTGTACCACCATCAGGAGGCGGATCGCCTCCTCAGGGCTGTGCGCCTGGTGGGGAGTGACACTGCAGGGCGCATCAGGATGGAGAGCATGAGCCTCACCCGGGGTCAGGCGGTGGAGACCCCGCTCTGCCCGCACTGAGGGAGCATCTCCGCAAGGCCAGGCCTCGCATTCCTGCACTGTTGCAGTGGGTGCTCAGGAGGAGCTAACCCTTCAACCCTAAGGGGGTTCCAGACCAAAGCTAGAGAGCGCCTCTTCCCGAGGTGGCCAGGGGAAGACTAGCGGCCTCCACATGGGGAAGGAGGGACGCC